ATAACGGGGATTTGGGGGATGTCGCTGTCCATGCTGATTGTTGACCGTCCATTCTCTTTGTTTGGGTGAAGGAGGCCTGTTTAGAGGTTGCTCTTGCGAGGTGCGATAAGAATGAGATGACGGAGATTCTTCTGTAGCATTGTCACATGTAAAATAGGGCTTAAAACTCAATCAATGTCCTCTATTCTTTTTGTTCTCAAATCTGCAAGCTAATTATGTCTACACGAACCCCTGGACGTGGACCTGAAACCCAAATTGATGCAGAACTAAATCTCGAATTGTTATATAATTGCAAACTTTAACGCAACCACGCCTCGGGTTACAGGGAGAGTTAATATAATTCTGTTGATCTTTGTAACAGTGAGGCTTTTGTTGTCTGCAAATACTTCTATAAGACAACTCAACAGATAGGGTGGCAGCTGTTAAACTAGTAGGATTATAAAATTAAGTCTAATTATATAATCCTATAAGTAATTTAGCCTAAATAAGCTTTAACTAAGAAAGATATTAATTATATAATTCCCCTATTTATATTAATAATATATTAATATTTAATTAATTTATTAAATTTATTATAATATAATTAATAAGTAAGCTAGTTAAATAAGTAAGCTAGTTACTTTCCTTAACCTTTTTAAGCTATAGTTTAAAAAGGGCTACTTTTACTTATTAAATTCCTCCCTAGATAACTTAAGAATATCCTTATAAGTCTTAGTATTATAACTGCCCTTATTATATATATTATAATACTAACTACTTAATTACTTTAATCTTCCTTAATTACTACTTCTTAATAATTTAACTACTACTTATATATTAATATTTATCTAATTAATTATTTATAATACTTCTTATATAATTATAATTTCTTTTTTTTATAATTTAATCCTTTTTACCTTTTAATACTAACTTAGTATTTTATTTATATTTTAAAGATTATAAAGCTTAGCCCTTAATAAGATAACCTTATATATAATTACCTTTATTACCTTAGTAATTAACTTTAAAGCTTTAATAATAGACTTTAGGGAGTTATTATAATACCTTTTAATTTATTTTTTAAGGTATTTAAATTAAAATTAGGCCTTAATAATTATTAAAAATTAGGAGATAATAAGAACTAATTAATTAATTAATTATAAATTAATTAAAATACTTTAATTACTTAAGACCTAGCTTATTATTTATTTACTTATTTTAACTTATTATAATAACCTAATTACCTAAGAGGTTATATTCTTAGTATTAGTTTATAAGATAATATTAGCTTATATTAATAATAAATAATATAATTAATTAGCCTTTTATATTAATTACTTAAATTATACTAATTTATTTTTAGTTTTTAGGCTATATTAATTTTAATCTTTATTACCTTTCTAATCTTATATTAATTATACTAATTATAATAAGGCCTATTATAAAGTTAATCTTATTAAAGTTTTAAATATTATTTAATTAAATATTATATTTTATAATTATATTTTATATAAGCCTAAATTAGCTATAAATAATAATTAAATCTTTATATTTAGCTCTTTAATAATTATATCTCTAAAATAAATATATTTTTAACTTTAATTATTACTTTATAAAGTTATAAGCCTAGTACTTACTAATAGGTAATATATTATAATTTATAAGTAGAGAATTAGTTATTTCTTTTATAAAATATAATTATAAGGAAAATCCTTATAAATCTAAGTTAAAAATAAATTAAATTATTATTTACTTTTTTAAATTAAATAGCTTTTATAAATTTAAAATAAAATTATATTATAATTAAATATTATTTTTTTAATTATATAAGGTATTAAACCTAACTTTATATATACTTATAATATATTAAATACTTAATTTTAGGTTATTTTAAAGAGCCTAAAGTATAAAAAGGATTTTAGCCTTATTTAAAGGCTATAATATATTAAGTAGTTAAAAAGTATTTAATTAAATAATAATATTATAAAAAGAGGGATTTTTAATTAACTTACTTATTAATTATATATTATATAATTTAAGATATAAAAAAGGTAATTATAGGGTTTTATAAAAAAATAAAAAGAAAATATATTAAGTTTTTTATAAGTTTAATTACCTAAAGTTAAAGACTTAAAGTTATAATATTAGTATTAGTAGTATAAAGAGG